CACATCGCGTAAAAAGCGCCGCGTAATTACACAGCAAAGGCACGCCCACCGCAGTGCTCTCGCCAAAATACATTTTACGCGGCTATATTTGACTTTTAGCGCCTGAATTGTTGATTTCATTATCGGAAAGCTTTGCACGCGCGAATTTTCACGGATTTGTCACTTCTCCTTGACGCGCGCACGACGATTAGTCGTGCGGTTGCCTACGAATGTTTCGGAGGATTGCAGCAAATCAGTGACTTGTTTCGACTCCTGAATTTGCCAATACTTTTGTATAGTATCAATTCAAAAAATTGTATCAATGCTTTTGTATGAGCTTTGTCAAATGACAATATTTATCGAAGATTTTAAGCGTGAACAATCGAAATTGGCTCCAACTAAACGAAACTCTGCTATCGTGAAAAATCAGCTTTTCCATTCTTCGCTTTTTTTTACATAAACTTGTTCGAAAAATACCTCGTTTAGAGCACACGCGAAATTTTTTCGTATGACTTAATTACAACAGAAGGCGATGCGTCACTTCGGCAACAATGGACAATATTTCAAGTTTTTAACTCTTTCCTTATGTGTGGATGTAAGAAAACTAGTTTTAAGATTATTCCAATTGCAATAGTTTTAAAAGTATTTCGTTTTTTAAGTATATGAGTGAACATGAAACGTTGGAAATTATATTTTGGAAAGACTTTTATTTTATATACTCTCCAACAAATTACACTTAATGCACATGAATAGTGAGAATTTCCGTACTTCAAGTTTAACTCAAAGAACGTGTAAGAAAGTGCTAGCCTACTTTTGTACTTGCGATATTCCTCGCGATTTTAAATATATCTCAGAGCAGCTCGAAGATCAAATGTATACGAGCAATTCCATCAGAAATCGTCCACTAATTGGGTATCGATTTTTCCGAACGTTTTCAAAAAATTGTAAAGGTGCGCGCACTTGAACGTTCGACAATGTGTAACCCACCCAAATATGGAAAAATATTTGGTCCCATCTCCTAGCAGGATCGTGTTGTTTTATGTGATGTTTCATGGCTCCTTTTGGAATCTATCAAAGAGCAAGGAAATATAGTGCACATCTGAATATAAACGCAAATGCTAGGGGTCTAAATAATACTTTGTTTTATTTTCTGCTGGAATGTTGGACTCTTCGATTTTGATTCGGAAGTTTCATTAACAGTGAGTTGATTACGCAGTGTTAAAGTTTTCAAAGTTTCACAAGGAAAATTTGCATCGCAGCTGAAATCCACGCTATCGTTTGTTGTCCTTGTAAAATTGTGGACCTTGTTATTTGAGGACTTTGAACTGTTATAAGAATGAAAGATTTATGTTAAAGGCATCTCCGCTGGTGGGATAAATTGCTTTTAGCTTCAGTCACTCCATAGGATGATAATGCGATTGAAAGAATTAAGCGCATGCAGCCAGTTGCAACTGTTCACAATTCGAGCTGAATGAATTGCTTATGTGAAAATGAGGAGGCGAACGGGCAAAGAGAAAAATACGTAAGACTGAGAAAAAAGATGCTCGGGCAAATATGAATTGGTATAGATAGGATGGTGCGATACAGTAAATGAACTCCTAAATGGCATAACTGTCAATTTAATATATTTCGGGTGGAACAGAAGCGATTGCGGCGCATAAATATGGGATTCAATGAAAAGGTGAAGTTGGGAATCGCCCCGGGGACTTTGCTCCAGTGTCACAATAAAGCACGTGAGAAAAATAAAGGCCAAAGCCTTGCTCTTCTCTCCGCTGGCTTCTCGCGTGGTGTGCGCGAGCGCGAGCGAAGAGGAATAGGCATGTATAATGTATGCGACCTCTTGATTTGCGAGCCTCTCTACAGGTGTACGGGAAAAAGCTTTCTACTTAGTCGGCCGCCATTTTTCCCGTTAATATTTGAGTGCGACGCGCCACCGTATTGGAATCGACTCGCTCCCAAGAGATATATAGCGGCGCATATTAAATTATTCATTCAACCGTGGAATATCGACGCGCGAACGCTGAAGCAATCTCCATTCAGATGAGCCGTCGACGTCGCGGACTCTCTGAATTCTCAATGTCACTTTTCCACGACAATTATTTTCTCGTTTCCTTTATTCCGGTAACGGATCGCATTTCTTTTTTCTCCCTCTTCCTTTCGACCAATTCTATTCACACTTGTGTGTAGTTGGTGGTGCTGGTGCGACGTTCCTATCGTGTTGCAGTCGAGCAAGTGAGAGAAACGAATGGGCGCGGATTTTCATCGGGATAATAGAAAAGTCGTAGTTTATACATGTTACATGGGATTTAAAGGATTCGCTCGGAAAAGAGTCGATGGGAAACGACGACAAAGGTCATTTGAGAAACGTCTCTCGTGTCGAATGTGAAACTCACGTGAGATTGGAATTCTTATGGGAATTGAAAACGGTCGATTTTTCTTTGACATCCTTATGACTAATGCAAGTAAGGAAAACGAATAAGATCGGTCTTCTATTAGCTTGATACGTAACTACAGGCTTTTGAAAGCACTTGCTGATGGCTGCTTGCTTCTGCCAGAAATACCATCTAATTATTTTTAGATAATTATACATAATTTCCATGAACTTGTCAATATTATTCATTAACGTTTTTCATTGTCATTTCGGAATAAGCACAGTAATTCGCGTAGCTTATGAAAATTTATCGATCTGTTTGGCACGTTATCTAATAATATATATTACCTGAAACCGAATATGCGTTCGTTAATTAGTGAATTTAATTCCATAATATATAACTTGTACCAGATATATTTACTAATTAATAAGAATTCGATCCGAACGATGTTCAGAGACATCCTGCACGTATTATCTGTTAAATTAGCTGGTACTCGTAGCCGAAAAACATGGGCCTAATTGAACATTCCATCCGTTCATCCCTTGCATCCAGAAAAATTCGGCGTATTCAACGTGAAAGATAAACGTAATCTCCAGCCCATTCTTTGTCGGGTAACTTAATACAATTAACTCCGGATGGACATTATAAAAAAAAAGCGCTGAGCAAACTCGCTTAAGTAAATCGAGATGGAGTTTAATGAAGCTGCACGTTTCAATGAGGGGGCAGGAAGCCAAAGGCAACTCTCTCGGCAATTATTCAAGAGCTACGCAGGTAGGTACGGGAAATGCACTTCCATCCCATCTCATATTCTATATATTTGTGTTTACCTTAGATCCTGAAATAATAATCACAAGATTAAAGGTTTATCTGCTTTATGCGTGAGCGTGTACGATCAGCGGAAGATAATTGAGCCAAGAAGTGGTCGATTGATGGGAGGCAAAGGCTTAATGAATAATTCGATTGACCGGCAGCCTTAGATGGGCTTTCGAGGCACAAGAACTTGCACTTGATCGTGGAAGGAGCGAGCTGAGAAACACTCTTGAGAGGCCAGCGCAGCAGCGTTTGCTTGTCTCTCGTTTGAGTGCGAATGTGCTTTGGCGAGCGCTATAAATAGTCCGTTGAGACAGCTAATTGCTAAGTGCTACCTGCCTTATCTTTTTCCCATTTTAATTTAATTAAAGTGCCAGAGGAGCAACAGAAAAATGCTAGTAAGAGCATGCGATACTGCACATGCTGCGAACAATGCAAAGGGAAACGGTACGAATTTTTGAGTGCACCGCGCATCCGTTTTGAATGAATCCGGCACCTTGTAAGCAAGTAACTTCTGCACGCTGCAGAACTAGGGAATATATTCTCTTTGTAGAATAGCATCGAAAAATCAGGGATCGGGCCGTTTGATAAAGCGACCTCACGGGAACGATGTTTTCCAGTGCTCGCACGTTCACAAAGAGATAGCCGATAGCTCGCGTGGACAAAGGAGTCGCAGTGTATTTATCCGTATAGTCCAACTGTACTCTCTGCCGCCGCCGCCGCCGCCGCCGCCGCCGCCGCCGCCGCCGCCGCCGCCAAGCCCTCAGCCTGCTCTCTCAGCAGCCTGCTCTCTCGCCTCGACGAATTAAGCCGATTGACCTTACTAGCTTTACGATCTCTGGCACACCGCAGCGTTTGACACGATTTCAACAGCCCTAAAATTTAACGCGAGCGGCTTGCGGCTCGCCCCACGACGATAGCTTCCCTCGCCTGGCTCGCCTGCCCACCTACCAAATTAACTAAGGCATCTCTCCTCGATCGCTATCGTTTCTCTCCGGCCTTGCTGTGAGCTGTAAAGAACCAAGCGACTGATAAATGGTTTCTGTTCCGTTATTGCGCACATCAGTGTGCATCCAGCTCTTATCTGACAACTCGTCGACAACGCCGTCGGACGACGTTTCGAATAAAAAACAGATCGGTCCTAATCCCGACACAATTACAAATTACTTCGGGAATACATCGTTTTAGAAAATTCCGAGAATTCGCATGGATTTCCATAGAGCTATGACTAATAAATAACGACAACCTGAGTATGCAATCGAGTCATTACGTTCAATGTTCGATTTACGGCTAGGTATAGTCCAAATACGGTTCAGTCATTTTGACTCAGCCGAGAACAAGTATGATTAACTCGAGGCGTTTGAATTTTCCCCAGTGCGCGCGCACGTCTAATAAGACATCTAACAACACTGGTTGACCTACTACTCGTCTTTGTATCCAATGATTCGATAATGATCTTGTCATTCTATCGGTTGGAATAGCTGTAATTATTTCGTTGTAATTATTTCGTAATGCATTTTTATTGATTTGTCGACGGCACTGTAGATAGTACGTATTGATATTTGTTTTTTACTTGTATAAGTGAAAAGGCGAGCTGTTCTCAATGAGACCGAGCCGAGCGACGTTTTCATGCTAATAACTCATTCCAAAGCCATTAGCCAAGAAAGTTCCTTTGTCGTGCGATTTAGCGATTTACGTATTATGTATATGTAGGCATTCGTTGCTCAGATATAAAATGCCACGATTCTTTTCTAATGGTCAGTAGTCTACGTGGAAGCTTGACCGGTATATACACACGCATCGTTAGTGAGTTCAGTGTGCCAATTGCGATTAGCAACAATGTCTATTCCAACGTCGGAACTGTTAGAAGCGATCTCCGAAGTGTCGTCGATTCAGGAGATGAAAGTGACCGTGAAAGTGACCGCTACTTGTGCCATTATCGCTGCTTGCAGTACCCTTGTCGGTGGGCTTATTGCTGGACCATTTGGTATTGCTGCCGGTGCGTAAATACACATGACAAAATTCATATTTTACATCAGAGATAAATTCGATGTTAATGCACGTGAAATATTTTGCAGGTGGTTTAATTGGAACTGCAGCGGCGTTCAGCTACGGGCATGGCAAATTTAAATCAGTTCCACAAGTTTTGGCGCAAGACGCAACCCCAGAGCAAAGGGAGAAATTAGCAAAGGCCATCAGAAGTATTTTGAATGCAAGGAATATTCTGGTCGTGGCGCAGTTCGTCGAGGCGATGAGAACTGATGAGAAATTGCTGCAAGACGTCAAACTTGTTATACGTGATTTCTTGAAGAAAGCTATGGGATATCATTTTAATAGTTAAATTTTCATCCACGACACACCAGTCCATTTCTCTGCATGATGATATCTTGATATTGAAATTTAAATATAGTATTTTATATAATCCCTTTTTTACGTCAAAGCAAGTATTGTTTCGAAAAGGATAGTTCTGTGAAAAATATCAATACCTCGCATTATCGAGTAATCAATAGGTCTACAAAATATAGATTTCTTTTTTATAGATATGTCAATGAACAAATAAATTATTTAAATAATTTCAAAGACATTTGTTTTAATGAAAAATAACAATAATCGCCTCTCTGAATTTAAGTTATCGAGTATTTGAAGGTCCGCGTTGGCTGAAAAGCGACATAAAAATACCAAAATATTGAAAAATAAATAAAAAAAGAGAACAGTGGCGGCGTACAGGCGACGAGAGGAAGTCCATTAGGCGGCGGAAGTGCACGATTCCGTCACAGTGGTCGCCAAACAATGGGAGCTCTCGCGCCACGTTACCTTCGTAGAATTTTACGATCGGTTTAATTTACCGAACAAAGAAGGGATGAGTTTGACTCTCTCTTTTTTCTGTAGCACACGATGGATGAATTATTTAAAGCGTTGGATTGATATCTCTTTCGAAGATTAATGTCGCCATAAAAGTTTACACTTCATTTTACGTTATTAAGAGATATGGAATATCTTTTTCATTGCTTTTATTAACGATTTTTTATCAACATAATTAATTGAAAGAATAAAAATAACTTTATATATAGTATATGGAATAGCAAACGAGTGTTTCAAAAGAAATGCATGAAAACGCTGAAAAGAACAAATTTTTACTTGTACAATTTAATGCTTTGCCCTATTAAAAAAAGAGTCTTCGTTAACATAGAGACGAATAATCCCAGCTTGTCCCTTGTACTTAGCAATGCACCCTTGGTACAGACTTCCGATTACTTAAATGCGGCTTAAGAATTTTTTTTGGTCTTTAACCTAAGAGATTATAGTCCATAACTGTTTTTATTCTCTGGGGACTCGACATTGGTGAATGAACAATGTACATGTCATCATTTGCTAACATCATGAATTCCACAACCTATACGTTCCACATTCGCGAAGCTTCAAATTTACGGGGATTACAAATTTTTTCTCGCTCTTTCGAACACTCGAATCGGGGAGGTCGAAGCTACTTTGTCATAACACTGTTCAGCATTGAAATACATCAGTGATCACCATCGGTAACACCATAACGAGTACACTCACCCTTCCCTTTATATAAATACAAATAGAAGTAGACGGTAAAGCGTTAAAACTGCCTGAGCGAAAACGCATGTAAATAAGGCTTATGTATTCCGTTAATGCGCGAGATACACACAGAAGAGCGCAAGCGCTTCTCTCTCTCTCTCTCTCTCTCGCTTTGCACGCCAGAATTCTAATTATGCAAAGAACCACGACAACGAGACCCCCTATTCTTCGAACTTCAACTTTCTTTTTCTTCGAGTAACGTGAAAACATCGCTATACGGCAGGATTAATTGACTAAAAGATTCTACACACACAAATGCACACGTATTACGGCGTTACCTGTTTAAGATAATGAACGTTTTTCATTTTATGAAGCGTCAAGTTTAATGCATAATTAACGCTTACTTCTCGCTAGCTTCTTTATGTAATTTATAAGTAATAAAGTTTATACACCTGCTATGCCTGCTCACGAATATTTCGTTCGGTAAGTAATTGCGTTTGCAAGTGGCTTTTCTTTGAATTAGCTATGATACAAAGCTTGAAGTGACGATGAAACTGTCATTGAAATATATGAACTTGATGTAGATATTATTAGAAAAATAACGAATATATTTTGCGATTGTAGCGCTTGAAATAACATATATAGTGCTTACAGATACACTCAAATGCATTATAATGCACTGTCTTTGCAATAATAATTACGGTAGAAATTTAATAGCGTAACGTACAATGATGCAAACTATTGTTTGATTTACGAATATCATCAGTGTATTTTGTAAGAATAATAGGTTTTATTATCAGATATTTGTAATATTCTGAAAGTCGATGAATCACTATTTGAAAGACGTAACCGCTAAGAAGCGCAGTTACTTTACGTCAAATCAAGACAACAGATATCAAACGAGTGTTCGCTCATAACGACTGTGAATAAAAATGTGAAGGGAATCGTCTCGGGAGAAAAATCGTAGTATGGTGTTTTTGAAAATTGCTTTGATTATATATGCTAGACAAGTAGGCTATCTTGAAGGTAGTGTCTTGGAAATTAGTTGACGAGAAAGCTCTACAGGTGCTGCAAGCACGTATATACATAAATCGTCGTCGTCGTCGTCGTCGTCGCCGTCGTCGTCGTCGACTCGGGACGAACGAACGAACGACGTCGGTTTAGCGGTCGGTTTAGCTCCGTGCAAAGGCATTCCATAAACAAAAGAAAGTGCTCTCATAAAGAATTGGTGCTTGGGTGTGTATGTGTGTGCGTGTGTGCACCGCGGAGGAAACAAGACACTCGCCGCTTAAATAATGCATGAGTCGAATATTTACGGGCCACGTTGAGTCGTTCTCTCTCTCTCTCTCTCTCTCTCTCTCTCTCTCTCTCTCTCTCTCTCTCTCTGCACGCTTTATTTACAGGACATAGAGCAAGCGCCTTACAACGCGCGCGCCTCTCGAATTGCCGTCAAGGGCCATCGTTCTAACACTATACCTTCTTCCTCTTCGCTTTCATTCGTTGTTCTTCTCGTGCCTGAGTGCTCAACGGATTTACTGGACGCTTCTCGCCAGCGAGCGCTCTGTGTTGCGGAGAACTCTTCTTTTACCTTCTTTTATACCGACGAGTCTCGAGAATACTCTCTCTAAGTATGTCGTGAAAATTCATTGTCGCTTGCTTACGAGTTTCCATGAAACGAGGTGAAACAGTCTTTCGGCTGCTTAATCGACTGATGAGTGAGTTTACGCATATACTTTTTCTTTTTAATTAGATATCGACTTTTGAGATACGACAATACATTCATTATCTACTTGCCTCCATCTACATCGAACTTACCATCAATCATCCTGAACTAAAAGTTAAAACTGAAATTCCTTCGGCCGTATCACTTTATCCATATACCTTGCTATTTGTACACGCATATTAAAAGAGGGAGAGAGCTGCTCCGGCACTCTAAGCAATTTTAACACACTTTTTCCATCAAGCTCGACAAAAAAACTTTTTTGCCAATACCACGGCGGCGCTAGTCCATTAAAATATTGCGAGCGTACGCACGCGCGCGCGATTATCACACACTCAAAATGTGCGAGACGAGGGGCCTGGTAGATAGTCGATTAAACTTGAAAATTAAATTCGAAATGAAGAAGTAGGCAAACTGCGGGCTGCAGTGAAAACGCGCGAGTAATCAGATTTTCATCCCGCGTGTAAGATGTTGGCAAACACGTGGCGCACGTTTACCGAACACTTTCAGTTATAGCCAGCACACACTTCACGTGCCTTTAAAAAAGACCGAGAGATTACTGCTACTTTTTCTCGGCTTGTCGCAAAAACTCGCTTCATTAATTATCTTAAGACGAAAGTCGTGTTCTAGTTGTAGCTGCAAGAAACAGAATGCGAGCAAGTCGCCTCACACTAATATCTGGATTAATCACTCTACGCCAGCGTTACTGCTGCACAATACTGATTGAAAAGTGAATATTCCGATTCACTCTTTCCTTTTCTCGTTGAAATATCCCGTGGATGTGTGCGTATGCGTGTGTGTGCGTGAGAGAGAGAGAGAGAGAGAGATCGATCGCACCCTTCCGGGCAAAAACAAACTTTTCTCATCGCTCGCCTCGTAGAGTAATTTTCCAAGGTGAAGACCTTTGTTGCCCCACGCGATCCCTTCTTTTTGTTGTTGTTGTTCATACTCTATTTTTTATATTTCTCCCTCTCACCGTTCATAATTGCCTTTTTCTGCTCTACTATCCTCACGGGTTTATTAAAGTCCGTACAAGCGATAAATCTTGTTTTATTTGTTTGCGCTCTCACAAGACATAACCTTGGTGAATCGATGTCGGAGACGAATAATTAAAGCATAACATAAACGAGAGAAAAAAAAGAAGGAACTGCTGTGCAGCGAAGAAGAAAGCCGAATTGGTAACCGTTTTACTATCTTTATCAAACGACCTGCAGCTGAAAAAGCGCAGCGAACCAATGGCTTTTGGACTTTCTTTCCTTCTTTTACTTTTAATAGCTCTTCTTATTTAAATAGTATATAAGGCAGTAGAAAAAATTTCTGCACATCTTCTGTTTGACATCCGAAGTATTGATTATTATTTCGCAGAAATGAAAGTGAAACGTGAAAAGTTTCGAAGAAAAGTTGACGATGCCACATCGAGAGGAGAATATGTGGAAGCTATACCACGTAATCCTTCAATTGCGGATAGCAGCGAGGTGCAATCACAATGCCATTAGGACTCATGGAAGACTCTAAATTATATACGACTGTCGTCTAGTCGTCGCTCTCTCTTCACCTACACTGAACGTACATCAACTTTGGAATCGTCGTCGCTGAAAAATGCATCGGGAAAACAAACTGTTCAAGATCGAGTAGAGAGACGAAACGGGGTTGTATATTTGCATGTATCATGCCCTCCCTTAACGATTTGTCGTTATACCTATAGCTGGGGCGAGGTGTGTCAAAGCCGCAGACGCCTTAATGTATGCAGCACCAGAGCTATACAGCTGAGGTACATATCCGAGTCGATCGTTCTCAATACATAGTTATATAGATAGCAAAGTGGTTCAGGCTAATTGATCAATTAACAAAAGACGAAAGCGAGCAGGCAAGAGGCACATCTAATTGTTATCAATCTCGATGACAGAAGATATAGGGCCAAAGGGGCAACTAGAGAGCACATCATGTAAATTGAACTTGCCGACAGGCATTATATTCATGATTTAATAGGTAGAAGGCTTTGCTCTTCTTGGCTTCCACTCGATATAGATATATAGGTAATGCTTGAGCATCCAGCCAACCTCCGATAAATAATTTAG